ATAAAGAATGGGTATACTGAAGTCAATGAGAAAACAAAATAATGACATTGCTGGAATTAGTCCAATAAGCATGGAAGAGCGGAGGCAATATTATCAAGTACTGCTTATGGAAGATAGACCCAATTTTTTGCTGGCCATGGTAAATGAGAAGAGTACAAACGAAGAAAATTTACACATCCCACAGGTAACGACTCAAGAAGTAATCAAAGTTGTAAAATGAAGTAAGAATGGTCGAGTACCTGGTCCTGGTAATATATAAGAAGGGCCTTAGACAACAGTTTTTAAAATCTATTTAGAGGGAGCCCTTGGAGAGTGGAAGAGGAAATGTTGTGGTATGAGCATTCCAGTCGGTGGTGAAATTATGCATACCGTACTCTTTGCCGACGATCGTGGCCGGAGATATGGATGACTCGAGTTATATGCTTCGTAAGTTGAAAGAAGAGTATGAAAAATGGTACGTAAATATTAATATGTCTAAAACTGAGTATCTGAAAGTGGAACAGGACGAGATGGAAGACACAGAAATAGAAAATGAAAACATTAAAGGTTGTACAACTTTAAAAAAATGTAGGGGTCACTTTATCATCTAATGATAAAAGCAGTGACGCCATAAATAATAAAATTGGTCAAGGTAAAAGAGCGATATGGCACTTGAAATTGCATTCACACCATTTCCTTTAAATGTAACATAATTCAAATTAAATTTACTTCGAAAAACTTTACAATGAATTTGAACATTACCATAATTAACATAACATTCAACAATTCCCTACAATCACTACGTCTAGTATTTGAAATATTTACACTCAACTTTCTTTTTCAATGAATCATTAGGGCATGAAATATAAATTGTATGTCAAACCCATGTGTGTAAATTCAATGTAATGTTTGAAAGTCCAAATAGGTAGCCGTGACCAAAGGAAATAAAAAACTAATAAGGGAAAGTCAGTGCACCACTGTAGCACCACTACTTCCTTAATGAAACCTGTTCCTTAAGAACATATTTTGGTAAAAGGTCATGTACAATTTTTCGAAAATTTGAGTACTTTTCACGTAATTTAGCGTGAAACATAGGCAATTTTTAATTTTTTTGAAACATTTTTTTAATCAAAAACTGCCCCAAATTTTTGGGTTAAATTTTGATATCGAACTTCGTACAGGACGCTTAAGAGGATGGCGAAGGTCTCAAGTTCATTGAAAGTTCTCATTTTTTGAAAATTGTAAACATTCAATTTTTTTCGGTATCTTTCTAAAACTACAATTATGAAGATAACATTTTATATTATGTAATGTATTAATCAAAAATAGATCTTCAAATAATGTTATGTTCAATTTAAAAAAATGAGTCTTGCGTAATTTTTTTGTCAAACAGGCATTTTTTTTATTTTCTTTAAACCATTTTTTACTTTCTCATCCTTAAGAAGATACTTCTTAAGAAGAGAAAGTAATGTAATGTTGCGAGGCAAAATGGCGAATTTTCGGCAGAAAAACTCTTATAACAGAGCCTTGCTAATGAAAATGCGAATAAAGAAGGATAAATATAGATGCTAAATTTAGAAACAAAAATAATTTAGCACGTGGTGCAGCCAGAATCCATGTTTCGTGAGTCCTTGATACCCAAAAGTCGATTGAGGGGAAAACGGCTGTCTGTCCCTCTGTGAATAACGCTAGCGGCTAAACCGTTCAGCCGATTTCCTCCAAAATTGATATTCCCGGATCTATCTGACAGATGTCACGGCTCCTTGAATTTGAAATCGATATTTTAATTTTGGGGGAGTACTTAACATAAAACGTCTGGACATTTTTTTCAAAATTAAGAAGAAATGGGTACAATGCTTTTAATTATTTTTTTGTTGGATAGTCCGAAATTTTGGGTTTAACATAAGCAATTTGTATTTTCTTAAAAACATTTTTTCTTAACAACTGGACATTTTTTTAAATTAAATTGAGACTTTAGATAGCATAAAGAACGCTTAAGGGAATGGTGCAGGTCCCATGTTCGTTGAAATTTATTTTGCAGAAAAAAATCCGCTTCTAACTACAACTACAATTTTTTGTTAATGAGATGTGTTCGTATAAAACATATCTTCAAATAAGGTAATGTTCAGTTTTTTAAAAAAATATAAGTATTTCGTAATTTGGTGACAAAATTAATCGCCGGTTTCGAATTTACTGCGTTTCTTGAACTTAATTACAGACAGTTGGATTCTTCGTAAGTTAGAACTGTATATTATTTAATATTTCTTTGTTTCTTACATTTGACATTCTTTTATATTTACACATTAAACTTTTAGAAATGATTTAAAACTTATTTGAAATATATGAAATAAAATTGCTAGCTTTCAGGGAATATCAAATTGGAATGCAACAATGACTCGGGTGCTAATTTTTGAGAATTTTGTCTCATTGTTAGCTCATGATTAACCTGTGAGAAATGTAGTTATAATTGTTAAATTTATGTTGATATTTGCTTGAAAAAAATTAGTTTTTGCGCCAAATATACGATTAGTAATGAAAATGGTTGGGCATTATTTAAATACATGTTTTTGAAATACGTATTTTAAATACATTCTGCAATTGAAAAACTGTATTATTTAGTGTTTTGGGTATGTAATTTAGAGAGGTATTTAAATACACGAAGTAGGTGCATTTAGAAAAAGAAATACTTTTATTGGAATTATTGGAGACCGAAGGAAAAATATTGGGAAAACTGCATCTGACGAGGCGTTTACGAAAGGTAGGACATTTTGTTTATGCTTGGTATGACGGTATCGACGGCCTGAACAATAACAAAAACAGCCTAGACGATTTTAAATCCCGCTTGAAATGTATATATTGTATATTTGTTTACACCAGGGGTTTTCAAACTTTTTCGTCCACTGCTCTTGACCAATACGAAACTTTCCGCGACTCCCCTGCTAACAATACATTTCAAGTACAAGAGTTAACATAGGCCTACTAAAGGTTCAACACAAATGAGTAAGTGATATAATAGGCTATTTTATTTCTCCATTTTAATTAGGTATTAAAATAACATAACACAGTTTATTCAACTTTTATTTTTAAGACAAAATTCTTCTAAAAATAAAGAATGAGCTGACTTCTTCATCAACAATTGTTCAAAAGGTTCAATATTTGAAATTGCGACTAACAATTCTTTTTCTATCTTCAATTTTGATAGCAACTAAACACAGGTTGGGCACAGCTGGCGTGAGCACGGAAACCAATTATCTGTGAAGTAGAAAAATTAAATATCCCCGACGCGCGCTATGGATGTAAATCGTTGCTAAGCGAGCCACAGAAGCTATTGGTTAAGGATTTGGTTCAATAAATCCATAATTTATTTGTAA